TTTAAAATCAATAAGGAATAAAAAACTACAATTACTATTCTTCTGACTAAATTTTCAATTTTTAATTATTCTAGAAATTATTCAAGAAAAATAATTATTGCTAGATTCTAAATATTTTTTTTTAAACATTAGAAATCAAAAGTTATAAATTCAGGTTAAATATTTGATTCTACTTTTTTATCAATATTTAGAGTATTAATTTTTCTATTGATTATTTCTATCATCTATTATTATTTTAGTTTTGAATAAATTAAAACACCTAAATCACTTATAGCATGCATATGTATAATTATTATAGATATTAATTTTTAAAAATTCGTTAAAAGTCTTAAAATTATTTTAAAAACAACCTTATTATTTTTAGGAATATTTATACCTAATTTAAAATTAGGTAACCAATATAAATTAAATAAAGTATGGTATTCTTATTTCTATATTAACAGAATTAAATAAACTATTCTTTGGAGTTCAAATATAATATTTTAATTCTTGAATAAGTATAATGATTCATCTTTGTAAGTATTTGCTGACTTCAAATACTCAAGTTTATAGCTAGCTTTTAATATAATAGATATGCTTTGGATAGATGACAATTTATTTTTATAATTATATATTAAATTATTTTTTTATTCATTTTCCATCTGTTTATCCATTTTATGGCTTGATGAAAATTTAATGTGATGCTACACAAGTGTAAAAGATGCTTTCAAATTTAAACATTTTATTTAAATCCATAATTACTTTATTGGATTTAACAATGTAGAATAAGGAGGTAAAAACTAAGATTATGTTTCTAATTTTTTTATAAATTTGCTCTTTTTGTAAAATGGAGCGATATCTTCAAATATTCTAAATTTTTTAGGGTGATAATATGGTCTAGCTTAATTAATGAGTATATTAAATAAATAATAATTTTTCAAAACTACGTAGAAAACTTATTATTAATACTTGAGAAATCCATTTTTCCTAAAATAACCAATTATAAATGAATAAGAATAAATATAAGGTTTAATATGTTTAATAAAAAATAACTATAATTTGAATAACTATATAAAGAAATAATAAATAAATAAAATGTTAATTATGTTTAATCAAAAATAACTAAAATTTGAATAAATTTATAAATAAATAATAAATAATTAAAATGTT